TGGTTTTGTATCTTTCATTGAATATTTAAGATCTTTTGTCAAGTGTCCTTGTGAGTTTGCTTAGGTATCGTGATCCATTTTTTGGATATGGAGCTACCCTTACACAGCCACCTACCAAGGCTAAGAAACTGCTTCAGTCTCAGGCTTAAAAGTATGATGATATTTCATTTCCATTTCCAATTTTAAGTACTGTGCCTGAAGGAATTTTCTAAATAAACATTGGTTTAATGAATAATTGTTCCCTATGTCTTACCTTTTTTGTGGCCAGCTTTACCACATATATTTGGTATATAATCAGCAAATGTAAACAGATATAAAATTTAAAATACAGACGTACACGGAGAAAAATATTTTAAATGGCAAATGTAATTTCATATTTTCTAGAGTTCACCATATCATCATTAATGACTTAGAGGCATTTTACTAGACCTATTCAATTTATATGTGTATAAATTACAAATAGCTAAATATGAATATATTATTATCAACTTAGAAAAAATGTTATATTCAAGTATTTCATGAACTTTCCTGAATTTATTTTTTGCTATTCATTTTCTACGTGTACATTCAGATGACATATGTTAATTTAACTTATTGTAACACAAAAACATGTGTAGCATGCAATGAGACCTGCATACTGCAATGAAAACAGCAACTATAATCAATTTTGTTCACTGCAGTCACTATGTCAACTTTCAGTAGTAACAGAACTATAAATACTTTAACTCTAAAGTCAGAAAAAAAATTTTTGTTTATAAAAACATGGATTACAAGTAAAAGGCATAAAACATCAATGGTGTATTATAGGATACTAGAGGCCCAGTGCACAAAAATTTGTGCACTTGGGGGGGTCCCTCAGCCTGGCCTGTGCCCTCTTGCAGTCTGGGACCGCTCGGAGGATGTCCACCTGCTGGCTTAGGCCCACTCCCTGGGGGATCGGGCCCAAGCTGGCAGTCAGACATCCCTCTGGCAGCCCGGCAGCCCTCGGGGGATGTCCAGTTACCAGCAGGGAGCAGATCTAAGCTGCAGTCGGACATCCTTAGCGCTGCTGAGGGGGCAGGAGAGGCTCCCACCACCACCGCTATACTGGCAGCTGTCAGCCTGGCTTGTGGCTGAGCAGAGCTCCCCCTGTGGGAACGCACTGACCACCAGGGGAGAGCTCCTGCATTGAGCATCTGCCCCCTGGTGGTCAGTGTGTGTCATAGTGACCAGTCATTCCTAGTCATTCTGCTGTTAGGGTCAATTTGCATATTACCCTTTTATTATATGGGATAGAGGCCTGGTGCACGGGTGGAGGCCAGCTGGTTTGCCCTGAAGGGTGTCCCAGATCAGGGTGGGGGTCCTGCTGGGGTGCCTGGCCAGCCTGAGGGGCTGATGGCTGTTTGCAGCTGGTCACACCCCTTCAGGGTGGGGGTCCCCATGGAGGTGCCTGGCCAGCCTGAGTGAGGGGCTGATGGCTGTTTTCAGGCTGGCCACACCCCCTTTAGGGTGGGGGGTCCCCTCTGGGTGCCTGGCCAGTCTGGGTGAGGGGCTGAGGGCCGTTTTCAGGCTGGCCAACCCCCTCCAGCGACGGAAGCTCCCAGCCTCTCCTGTTTTTCTTTTTATTCTGGGATTTATTTACCTTCTATAATTGAAACTTTGTTGCTTTGAGTGGAGCACAGAGCCGGCCAGGGCGGGTGGGAGGGAAGCCTCCTGCTTGCTCCAGCTCCGTGGCCACAGCCAGCTGAAAGAAGGTATCTGGGGTTTATTTACCTTCTATAATTGAAACTTTGTTGCTTTGAGTGGAGCTCAGAGCCGCCGCGGCAGCTTGGCTTCCTCCATCATTGGGGCAAGCAAGCCTCCTGCACGCTCTAGCTCTGTGGCTGCCAGCCGCCATCTTGGTTGGATTAATTTGCATATAGTTGCTCTGATTGGCTGGTGGGCATGGCTTAAGGCATAGCGAAGGTATGGTCAATTTGCATGTTTATCTTTTATTAGTGTAGATGATTATATTCCAATAATGTATAAGCACATATGTTGTTGTCAGTGTTGAAACAATGTACGATTTTTTTATTAACTATTGAAACAAAATGACACTGGAAGCACTCAAACATATTCCCTCTCAGAATAAAGATCGTCAGTTTTATTCTAAGAAATGAAAGCAGATTCAAGATCCTATGTTGCAATCACTAGTTAGTGACACCACCATTTTCTTATAACAACTGTAGTTGGCATTCTGGGCACCTCATGGAATATGTGTTCCCTGGAGAGATAGCCTGGCCTTCTTCAGTCTCCAGAAACATCCTATAGTGACCGAAGCCAAATACCGTGCCTAATGACTCAAATCGCTAGGCATGTACCACCATCTTTCCCTTTTCCCTGCAAAATAATTTGCTCTCTTGCTGAAGAATATGATGAAGAAAATAATATTGAAAATGGGGAACTTAAGGTTACAATCTTCCCTAAACCTCTGTCCAAGCCAGGTATGCCCGAAGAGGCTTTTGGCTCTAGGCAAACACCCATGGACTCGTGCGTTTTCAGTTATACGGTATATACAAAAGAAAACACAGCAGAGACTCACATTCTGCTCTGCTTTTGGAAGAAAGAAAACTCTATCTGTTCCCAAGGAAAAATTGGAAAACTTTTCTCTGTGAATTCATGACAAAATGATCCTAGACAATGAATCAGAAAAATGGTCTTTACTTATAAACTAATGTAATTATCAAACGTTAGATAAAAAACAAAGACAAACTGAAATTAATAGTTTAGACTCAAATCACAAAAGTGCCTAATTAATATTCATTATCAGGTTAATGTCTGATATAAAGAAACTTTCATAGAGCAGGTATAGTTAAATATACCAAGCTGAGACAAAAAGTATCATAGACAAACCACTGAATTGTATACCCAAGGGGTAAGCATCTTTCTCATTAATTATAAGTAAACACAAACTGAGATTGGGTTTAGATATATTAATTGCAAAAACTGCCTTATAATAGGGTGTTCTTATCAAGCAGACTCTACAGAATCAAATTCTGGACTGAATACCAGAATCCCCAACTCCCCCAAAAGGTGCATGATTTGCGATCCTGTCTCAGATCAATGTACTTGGAGAAATCTCCTCCCCGGGCAGCAGGCTGACGTCTCTCTCGGACTTGTGCTGACCTCACTTCACTGTAAAGACAGCTTCATGCCGAGTGCCTTGTGTCATAAAAATGAAAGCACCGTTGCTTTACGCCTTGTTGCTTGTGTTTTTCCCCTGCCTTTGCCCCCTGTTCAAATTTCCTTCTCTGGTGGTGTCTCTCCCTGAATGAATTTTGAGAGGGGCCCAACCCAGGATGCCTTCTAATGATCCCTGGGGTGCCTACCCTTGCTTTTCAGCTGTTCTGCTTTGCAATCTTCCTCAGGACTCAAAGTTGATCCAGAACCCACCAGAAGACGAAGAGGCAAGAGAGCCAGAGACTGAACAAAGCTTACTCGTCGCTAGTTATTTTTCTACTCCTTTAAAAAATTCATTTCCAGTATGTAACATTTCTTATAAAGTAGGCTAAAATTTCTCAGCCCTTTCAGAACTTCTTTTCAAAGGTTTTGACTCCACAAATCAGGAAGATTACAGTAATTCAGGCTTAACCCCCGCCCTCCCCACCCCCCAAAAAACAACTAAAAGGAAATTTAAGTTTGATTCAGCTTGTCCTCAATAACTTGAAAACCAATGAACCAGACTCTCAGAACTAGTGGATACAAATTAAAGACTATTTAAGAAATCTATTTGATAATATTTTTACCAACATCTTAATTAGTTGTATTAGAATATAAATAGATAAAATGCAAGAAAATAAACCACACGTAAAGGGCAAAATAGTTTTCATAGGCAGAAAAAAGGACTACATTACTAATGGGAAATGTCTACAAAAATGAGTGTATTTTACCTGTCGTCATCTTGTGAGAATCGCCTCTGCAAATCCTCTTTATTCCACTGTTCTTTTTCTTTCCCTTGCTCATGTATATCTTGTGTTTTTTCCTTGTCTCCTGATTCTCTGGTTTTCTCATGATTAGACGTTTTTGTAATCTCGTTCCCTTTCACATGCTCATTAATTCTTTCTTCCTTTACCTCATGAACTATCTCTTCATGCTTATCCCCTTCTTTCCCTCCCTCTTCTACTCCCTTTGGCCTTTGAAAGCAACACAAATTGAAGGAAGGCATGCAAATAAACACAAAAAAGGAAAGAAAAAGTAAGAAAAAATGCATACAAAATTAAACAGAAAGGAAATGAACACTATGAAAACATAAATAACAATGACATCTTTTAAATGTTGAAACTTTTTTTTCCAGTATACCAGAGAAGCGCCTATGTAAGCACCACAATCATAATTGTTCTTTAAAATCCTATTTTCCTGCTACAGAGTTGTATGGAAAAAAGTTGTGGTCTCCTCATTATAGTTTTTTTTTTATATACATAGGAGTAAAAATAATTTAGCTCAGGTGCCCATAAACTCTATCGGTATGCATATACAAACATAAATATTGCATTTATAAATTTTGAGAGGCTGAAGACTTTTCCCATGCATTTATAAGTTTCAGGAGGATAAGGCGTATCCTACTAAAAAAGTAATATTTTTCTGAATCCCTGAAATATACTCATCTAGGGGAAAAAACCCTCCAAATACTATTTTTCACATTTCTTAGAACATTAAAATATTCAAATTTTCACAAAACCGTCACTTTAACCTCAATAAATGTGTAATAGAATTACTTTTTTAAAATAGAAAACATTAAAAAACAACTAAGGATATTATTTCAAGTAATCTAGTAAGAAAGGTGTTGTACGTTCTATGAACCTTGCCTGTGCAAGAAGTTTGAAAGGCAGAGAAAAATATAAAAAAATAATACGTACAGAAGTTCTTATTGCCAAATGGCACACATTAGCCTTTAGAACAGAGGATTTTACGTTTATCCAAAGAAACATAAAGACCTTGTCATACACATTGAGAAGCTTTCCTGCGAAAGTCCCTTTACTCACCTGATTTTCTTGCTTCCTCTGGGCCGTTCTGATTGGACGGACATGTAGCTTGTGCTGCTGAAACGAGAAGCACTACTAGTCCTGGAAACCGCAGATATATCACTTACATCACTGTCCGAAGATTTAGTGGAAATATTATCTGCCCCTCTATGAGGATCCCATCCTGATCGATACTGTTAACACAGATTGACAAATACGCAGAAGTTGTCAGTATTACCATACAGAGCAATTATTAGCTTCTCCTATTTCAGCACTTTATTGTCCACAGAGGATACTGCAAAACCCCCACTCAGTTGCATATAAAAACAAAAGTGAATGGCAATTATCCTAAAAGAAAAATTCAATTTGCGTGAAACCTTTGTTTTTCAGCACAGGCAATTAGAGCATTTTCACCACACCCCAATAAAGGCCGTTAAAATAGTTTCACCACAGCAATGGCCTCAGGGAAGGACATTTAGGTAAAATCTGGGAAATAAACATTTGGCTTCATATTAGAAAATAGAATATTTTTATTTCTGAATAAAATTTGAAAAAAAAGGTATAATAAAGTTGCCACTGTGACTTATTGAAACCCATTTTCTCTTTAATCCATTATGCTTCAGTGAAAACCTAGAGACAGTACAAAACCTAATGATTAAAACACTAACTTTTTCTAGAAAAGCCAAGAGAAAAGAGAAAGTTTAATGTTTGAAAGATTACTGGAATTTTGATGAATCCTAGAAATACTAGAAAAAAGTCATTATTATTTACAATAGTTCAAACTTCCTGGAATGAAATAATCAGTTATGTGGCACAGCCAGGGTGCAGGGTGTTCTGGGTGTTCAAACATTCTGGTAAATGAAAAGCCATCATAAATGCTTTATGTTAATGACATTGGGATATAAAAAAAATAGTAGATTCTGGAGTCTGGACAACCTGGAGTAAGGACAACCTCTTACTAACTGGGTAAAATTGAGCAAATACTTTAACCTTTAAAACTCTGTTTAAAGTAACTAGTTCCCTGGTGCAGATTCATGCACATTGAAAGGAAATTAATTAGAAGGTGGCCAGCGGAGCAGGACTGGGTGAGATGGGCTGGACACACTCTGGAGCCAACCTCCCGCGGTGCCTCCCCAGCCGGTCGCACCTGGGGCAGCGCTGCAGCTCAAAGGGTATCTGCGGAGTGAGCAGTTCTCTCCGACAGGTGGGGTCCCTCAGCCTGGCCTGCAGGGATTGGGCTGAAACTGGCTCTCTGACATCCCCTGAGGGGTCCCAGATTGCAAGAGGGTGGCACTCTGGAATCAGGCTCCCTCCTCTCTAGTTCTGGGGTGTGTCACCTGAGAACCGCAGCTGCCAAGTCACCGCAGCTCAGGGGCTCCTGCATTCAGCGTCTGAACCCTGGTGGTCAGTGCGTGTCATACCTACTGGCCGGTTGGCCGGTTGCTTAGCTTTTATATATATAGATAGGGATAATATATTTTTTTTCAGGGTTGTTTTGAAAATTAGAAATACAGTCTATCCTTGAACAACACGGAGGTTAGAAGAGTTGACTCCCAAGCAACTGAAAATCATCATATAACTTTGACTCCTTCAAAACTTAACTACTAATAGCCTACTGTTTACTGGAAGCCTTATTGATTACATAAACAGTCAATCAATACATATTTTGTATGTTAAATGTATTATATACTGTATTTTTACAATAAAGTAAGCTAGAGAAAATAGACTGTTATTAAGAAAGAAAGAAAAAATACATTTACTGTATTTGTTGAAAAAATCCACATATAAGTGGACCTGAACAGTTCGAATCATTGTTGTTCAGGGTCAAATGTAATACATGTCTGGTATCTGACATAATGTAAAAAAATTCAGCCAGTATTATTACTGTCCTGATGGCTATTACTGGGTTAAGAGCATATCTGCTAATAGATTTTTCTTTAATTATGTGTACTTCAAACATATACTGAAATATCTGTATCTGTCAATTTTGCAAAAGAGATTTTTCTAACCATAGAAAGTGTTCACAAAGCCTTAAAAAATTTAAATATTGAAAAATTTTACTTTAAATGAAAATGTCCTCAGCCATAGTAAGCCATTGCCTAGAATAGCATTTCAATGGGTAGGTCAACATTAACTATCTTAGCGCACACACTCACACACACACACAAACACACACAGACACTGTATGTATTTGTTTCATCAAATATATTAGCAGTAAATTTGATCTCAAGTTGAGACATAAATGGAAATACTTCATTTTATTTATATATTTTTGGATATTTCATTTATATGATAAATGAACGTTTTAAGAAAAATTTCAAAACTATTAAACTGTTCAATGGATACTGTTCTGTGTTTGGGGGGCTTTATTGTTCTTATTCTTGTTATTGATAACAAAAAGAGAAGCTGTCTGATATTAAAATAGCTTTTAAGATATTCTAGCATTGGCTAGATAAGCAGTTTTGGTATTACAATTTTTTCTTTGCAGTAGGTTTGGTATTATATTTTTTCTTTTTCTTTTGTTCATGGGATTATAATATCATCTAAGTTCAAATGAAAAATCCTAAAGTTTAACTGTAGGAGGTGGTAAGGGTAATATTATAATCACTATGAGCAATTGCTCTGGGATGAGACTGAATCAATGAATGGTCTGAATCCTGGCTACACAAATGATTAGGTATGTGATATTGGGATAATTATTTCCATGATTCCATTTTTCATCTGTTATAAAGTGAATAACAACCATACCCATCTCCTAGGCTTGCTGCAAGGATTAAATAAGATGATGTATGCAAAGCACTTAGAAAAATAGCTGACACACAACAAGTGCTTCACACATAACAAATGATGATGATAATGATGATGCTGATGATTAGATAGTAACTTGAACACTGGCTTAGTATCAATTCTAGGAATGTCTTTATCAAAGGAGATATTAGTTAGAAATACCCAACAATAAATATATTACTTTACGGCTGCTCTAAGCTACAATAAAAATACAACTATTTCTACATATATCCAATAGTTTTGTTTCAGAAAATATTTTTATAAGGCTCATTTTAATCATGAAACCAAACTTTCCCACTAATTCCTAGTATGTACTCAGGCTTCACCTTCCCCATCTGGCCAGGTTCATCCATATCCCACCACCTTATAGGGAATTACTCCATTCCCACCTGCACCATGAGGAGTTCTACCTCAGCAGGAAATATATGACGCTTCTTGGCTGACACAGCTGCTCGGTTTTTCATTTTTCTCTCTGCTGCTTTATCCTGAGATCCAAAACCGCCTGGAAACCTGTGCTCCCGTGTCTCCCAACTGGCACTTTTCTGATTTGTTCTACGTCCTAACTGCTTACTTGACTTCTGAAGTTCAGTCATTAGGATCTGACTATGCATACTTTAGCCTTAGTCTTTTTAGGCAGTCATGACTTTTGAACCTGCTGCTATGATCCATGGGTGCATACAGGCTGGCCTCAGAGGGAAGGTAGGGGAGGGTGGGGGAAGGGAGAGAGATCAACCAAAGGACTTGTAAGCATGCATATAAGCCTAACCAATGGACACAGACACCAGGGGAATGAGGGCATGAGTGTGTGGGGGTGGGGGTGGGGGGATAAGGACACACATGTAATACCTTAATTAATAAAGGAAAAAAAAAGAATTTGTGTGTTTTTTAAATACACATGGTGTACATTGCACATATCTCTGGCTAAGACCTCTCAGTTAATCTACTTTGCTGAGCTAAACTTTTGGATGTGCAAAATTTAAGGAAAGATATGATTCTATGTACTATAGTTTTATGCCTTTTATATAATTCGTCACACAATACCTCTTGTTATAGGTGGTGTGTGTGTATAGGTGTGTGTGTTCATGTATAATTTTCTAACTCTCTATTAGAATAAAGGTTCTTAAAGGTCAGGACAATATCTTCCTTATCTTTGTAGTTCTTTTAGCACCTGAATAAGAATCAGGTATTTAATTTAATTTAATTACCTGAATAATTTAAATACCTGAATAAGAATCAGGTATTTAATTTAATTTAAACTCATGTTTAGCTTTCGCACCAGTAAGATAAGAATAAATCCCATTTTAACGATTATTGTGAGGAGTAAGAGAAATAAGACTCAGCATACCCAACCGTGTGCTTAGCACATAGCAGTGCCTAAAATGTAGGTCATTAAATAAAAGACTGAGTGGAAAAATCCACATAAAGGAAAAACACAAACGAGGCAAAAATCTCTCGCGTGATGGTGACTCTGCTGTCTGCTCAAGGCCTGAGCCAAGTACCTCTCTCTGAGCGCTTCTAAGCAGCCAAGCATGCTTCCCTTTGGAGCACAGCTCAGGTTTCTGTTACAAATACACACATGAGCAACAGAATGAGAAATTTGGAAAGTAAGAAATGATAAGAAAAATATTTTTATAAATAAAACTTCAGAACTTATCTTAAATATGTTTAGAGTATAACATCTCCATATATACAATTCACAAAAAGCCCAGAACAAAGTAATGATGACCTAACACTGTTTACTTCTAAGATGGTTCATTTCTTTTGCTTTAACTAAATGTAGTTTTGCTTGTCTTACTGTATAATAAACAAAAGTTATATATTTTCATAGTGAGATAGAAGCAGCTAAATTATTATTATACCAAGGTAAAGAGTTATAAATGTGAATAAGTTCATTTATTTAGTTAGGAAAGAGTTGGTGTTGTCTGGCACTATAAACAATGAAGACTTAGCATGTATTAGTTTAGAGCTGACAGATGAACAATAAATGATATGTTCATCATTCTCCTTAAAGGAAAAAAACAAGTTTTTTTGCATAGGATTACACAATCCCAGCTGAAAACTGTGCTCTGACTGGAGATCATTAAGATCTTGTAAGAGAGTGAGGAAGCTCTTCCCGACAACATTTGATGCTTTGTCCATTACTATTAAGCAGATCATGAACTAGAAAATTTTACAGGAAATTATTATTGTTCAGGATGTTCCAGACGCTAAGGAGTTTCTAAGTGGCCGGGAAAAGTTAATGTTCTCCCTATTTACCTAAGATTAGTGAAAAGTAACAGCCTATCTGCAAAGCCCTTTTGAAAGAAAAGTTTGAATAAAATGTTGGAATAATATTCTGGAGAAAAAAAGTATATTCAAATTTCTAAAATAAAACTGTTACTTTCTCCAGTATACTCACTTGACATTT